GCGGAGGGGGAGGCTGTTAATGGGAATGGGGAGGGGATGGATGTTGATGTTAATGGGGAGGGGGCCGCCGAGGGGGACGGCGAATTGGGGGAGGAGGATTATGGAGCGCTTGCGCTGTTGGATACTGTTATTGAAGAGAGGGAGGAGCGGTTTAGCGATGAGGATGTGGTGGCTATTCTGGGTATTATTCGGGGGACGTTGGGGAGGGGGCAGGGGATGAATGGGGCAGGGTAGGTTGGTTGTTTTTATATTCATTTTTATTCCCTTCTTTGCCGGGTAGGGTTGGATGTAGGTTTATTTACTTGGACTTTTTCTTTTTCTTTTGTTGCTTTGGTTTATGAAAATGATATCCATTGGTTTTTTGGTGTTTATGTGGGAGATAGTATAATGTTGTAGGTATCTTGGGGTATCTCTTGGATACTTGTAGGAAATAAATATCGTACAAGAATGTCAATAGGCCATTTTTGAAGGAAATGAGATCCGTCGTGTCGATAACGCACGGTTAAACCTATTTGGGAGCCGATTATCGTATGTATATAGATGTCAAAACATGGTCGATGGCTCGCGCTGCATTGGCAGCCAGATCAGAAAATATGTGCAGGATAATGAAAATGGGGATGTAGTGTTTGATGGAGCAACGAGGGGTGTGGTCGTTCGCTTTCAGATTTGGGCGCAGGGAACCTGGCGATTGTAGCGCAGCGGGCATAATTCAAGCAAATAATGAAGTGCAATCACTCTTCTTTGCCCTTGATCAACTGGCCAAACTGGTTATAAACCGGCTCATCAGAGTCTCCGGCCTCTTTCCTCCACTTGCCGAAGCCATCGTTGAACAGGTCCCGTTCATAGCCCACGCAAACTTCGCTGTAATCGATCCACTCGCCTTTCTCGGTCCAAATACCGCCCTTACCGCCTCGCAGATCCCACCACTCTTGGCCTCCTAGTAAGGCCGACTGCGCAACTTCGAACCCGCTCGGGGAGCGCAAATACTTGCGGAGAAGAGCTCGTGCCCAGGGGTGATACCACATCTTGGACCACCATGTATCTCGCAGCTTTGGGTCTCCATCCAGGCGAACCAGGGCAGGGACCGTGGCCGAGTGGATATTGGTCAGCAGGGGGAGATTGTGCCATGAACGGTGTTGAGGGTTTGGGAGGGCGTCCAGCGTAGTATTGTAAGGGGGGTTGAGAGGTTCATCTTTGCCAACCTTGGGCTGGGTAAATGGATTGCTGACTTGCTCGGATTTGAGATCCTCGGGAAGTAACAGGCGCCTCTCCCGTGGGACGCCATGCTGCATCTGGACGGTAGATGTCCTGGAGACATTGTTGTACTGTAGCCATTCCACGTCGTTCTTGGAATTCCACATGTTAAAGAAAAGCCGGGATTCATAGTCAACACCAATACCGTACTCGTACCGGTGGCCGGTCTCCAGGCGCGGGTGCAGTCCTGTGAGGTTCGAGGCTTCGGAAATGCCGATTTGTGTATACATCCATTCCATAAATGGGCTAGAGGTTCTGCGTCTTTCCAGTTCCCGTACGTACTCTTGTCGTCCGAATAATTGGGTCAGAGCGACATAGTCCCCTTGCACATTGCGGTTGTGTTCAACGAAGCGCAGTATCTCGGCATAAATTGCCTTTAGATCTGCGACTTGGCCGATCACTACGCCTGGCTTGATCCACCGCGGTCGAGTAAGGGTGCCGTCCGGGTAGCGGTCAGTCTTCCACCCATAAATGTCTGGGGGGAGGCTGGACTCCGGTGCTGCAACACACCCTGCATCACGAGAGAGGCCAGGGCAGCACTCCTTGCTAGCACTAAATAGGACTCTCTGTGTATACTTTTGCACTGTCTCCGGAGGGCTTTGTTCAAAAGCCTTTTCAACCATCACAAGGCCGTACTTTTGTTCCAGCTTCGCGTTATTCTCCTTCAGAAGCTTTTGGAATCGTTGGATCAACACATCTGGGGGTAATTGGAAAAAGAAGTCTGTCCCATCGGCGATGAGGGCGAAGTCATTGTCTTGCACGTGCCGTGTTTTGTCCAGGAACTCATATATGCCGCTGATCCGGTCCTTCATAACATCATATTCTTTAGCTCCATCGGGGAGTTTTTTTCCATAGTTAATCAGCGTTGGTGGCGGATAGTTCAGAATCATGGCGGAAGTCAACATGCGACAAAGGGCGGGGGATTTGCTCTTTGCGGGAATGACGAGGTGGAATGAGGGGTTATTTTTCTGGAGGTTGCTTGGAAGCGTATCATTTCTGGTGAGGGCAGGTCTTCCTGTATGAACGATTTGTAGGTCTTCGGGACGATCTTGAGATGAACGATATGATGGATATTTTAACCAGTAATTGACGGCTGGCTACAGGAAGAATAGTGGTTAGTCTGTATGCTGAGGTATACAAGTTGCGATGGCTCACCTCAGTGGGAGAATGCGACAGAAGGAAAATAAAGAGCAGGAATGCTGTCGCTGTGAGGAACAGAGTTCTCGTCGGTCGAGCCCTCGGTCGAAAATGGTAAAGCTGCTGTAGGTAGGTTGTTATCGAAGATCGCGCCGAATGATATCGGTCGGCCCAGGAGCCATTGGGAACCCCCAGAGTAGCCATTCTAAGGGCGCGTGAAGTATGTGTTGAGCCTTGGGTGGATATAAAGTCCTTGAGGACAGGAAGTCCCGAAGACGTCAGTCCTCCTGATCGTACGAGACTTGAGTTCAGCGTTCAGTGAACGTGGTTGGAGATCACCGGAAGATAAGCATTCCTGTAGTAGGACATCTAATTATCAAAGTGATAGGGGCTCAATGACAACCGCCAGACGCCATGTCGGGTCGGCGCATAAAAGCATGCAGTCGAGGATGATGACGACAGAATGGTGAATAGGAACCAGGAAATTATAGCGGGCGTTGCAGCCGCCAAAACTCAAGATGACAGACTGTCAACTGAAGAAGAGAAAGTGGATTAAAGTTGTATGACCTGAAGTTTAAAAAAAGCGTACGTTGCAACAGGCGATGAATTGCGACGAGATTGGGGGTGATTTACGTAGACGGTGGGGACCCTTGCACATTTTCCGTGTGCGACAGGAGATTGTTTGTCTCCCCCACGGCTCTTGACTGAATTCTGGCCCGCAATGTTCATTCAGCTGAACAGGATAAACCTACGGGACTTGCAATAATCAATTCGCCGAGAATAACAGCTGACAACGAAGCCTTACACCCGGCGGTTCAGATCGTAACTCCCTATCGGCCGCGTCATCGACATATCTCGATCCCCGGTCTTGGCCGTTTCACATATGTGAAGGCATTATTACAGATATCTCGGGCACAGACATGAAACGTTGCTAGTCTATTACTATACACCCATCCAAAATAGGCAACATATCATTCAAGGTAAATCTCCTCCCGTAGTCGCTGCAGATTTTTGAAGATACCACCTCCGGGCCCTTCACTTTCCTGGCGCTTATGGCCAACTGGTGGCCTACCCTGTTGCTGAGATGAGTTGATTTTACCCTGGTTCTCCAGCGTCCGCCGCCGATCATCGATCATCTTCGCCAAACTATCCACAAATCTAGTCCGCGCTTTCTCTTCCGCGGTTCCTTTCCACATGGTTGCCAGTACTCGTAGAGCCTCAACCCGCCTTGTAGCAGCCTCCAATCCTTCGTCCCCTCCACCATTGCTATCGAGAAGCTCCGTCACCTCGGTGCGCAGCTTCTTCGCAACCTCCTGGCCCTTCTCCTCTTGGCTCTGAGCCTCTGAGCCTGGTTCTGGAGCTGACACAGAAATAAAAGACGACGTCAAGGAAGTCTCAGACGGCGGTAGCGGCCATTCCATGGAATCTCCAAAAGTCTGAACAACTTCTTCCAGGCGGGCTCGTACTTGGTTCAGGGTTCGTAGCTTCGTGATAAATTCGGGATCCTGGACAGTCGCCTCTCCATTGGCCGCTGCCTGCATCTCTTCTCCGTCGTCTTCTGATCCCGGATTGCCCTCCTGGTTGGATTCTACCGTATCCGGAACGAACCTCGCAATATCATCTCGTAATGCTTCCGTCAGGGTCTCGGACAGCCCGATTGCTTCGCCGCGCAGCACTTCAACTTCGTAGGCGAGGCGATTGCCACTGCGTAAAATTTCATCAGTCAGTTGAGTTAGATTATTGGAGAGTCGAACGTTCTGCGCGTTTATCTGCGTAAGGATCGACTGCACTTGGGTCGATAGCTCGGCGAGGGAAACGGCCGTCGAGCCCCGAGGGGTATAGGATTGCGGTGACGCCAGCGTCAGCGGAGGAAGGACATCATTCAGGAATTCGGCGGGGTCAAAGGATGGGTCGGTGAAATCGGGCGTAATGTCGAACGAAGGTCGTGAGATGGGTGTTCGGGCAGCTGCGCGAGCTGGTCCGGGATTCTGTGATGGAGCCATTTATTCGGGTAAGGAGTGCCTGTGCGGAGACATTGAGGGGCAGGATTGCCCTAGGAAGCGCTATAGCATGAGCTAGTTCAAGGATGTCGGTCTTCAAGCTGCATTAATGACGGTTTGTGGCTATTATATACTACTAGTAGTAGTACAAGACAATGGGAGCGGTAGCCTGTTGTCCAAACCTCCGGCAATGCGACGCCCACTGCGCCCCACGAAATGGATTCACCGCCTTGGACTGCTCTGTCGTCCCATTGCTTACATTCAATGTGGAAAAATGAGGCCAGAAATCATTATATTATTTCTTCAATTACATCAAGAACTCGACGATGGCCAAGCTCAAAGAGAGAGATTTCAATTATTGACAATGAATAGTAAACCATATCTGATGAATCACACAAGCAAGCTCAATCTTCACCCAAGCAAAGACAGGGAAGAGGATGGGTATCGTCAGTCCATTCGAACAAAAAAAAGATTAGGATGTATAGAAAGCCACGAAACTGTCTGCGAAAGGCCTCATCATTATAAAACACGCAGTTGAAAATATTCAATCGAAATTACCGTATGTCGTTCCAAATCAGTCATCTCGTATTCTTTGGAATTCGGGAGGGTTCGTTCTTCAAATATCCTCGACCACCCGTGCATTCATAGCGCGCTGAAAACCGTCATCTACATTGCCTGTTCCATAACGGCTGGGTCCCTCTCCCGCATTGTCGGCAGCGGCAAGTTGTTGTTGCACCGATTGGTTCATGGCGGGCAAGAATATGACTTTGCTGTTTGCTGTCTTAGCCATCGCTTGCATCGCCTCGAGGTACCGGATTTGCATAGCGGGAGCAGAGGAAAGAATATCAGCGGCCTAGAGGAGAAGGTTAGATCTTACTCGCCGATTTATACACAAATAAAAGACATACCTGACGCATCAACTTGGCCGATTCAACTTCGGCGCGAGCGGCAATGACCTTACTCTCACCAATTCGCTTAGACTGAGCCGCCATCGAAAGCGAGTCCTGCAAATCATCACTGAAAATAATATCCTTGATGAGCATGGACTCGACCTGCACACCCCATCCAGCTGCTACGTCTTCGATGATCTCCGAGGTGGACTGGGCGATCTCCTCACGGCGCTCAATCACATCTTGCAGGACTCTCGCTCCGATGACATGGCGCAAAGTGGTCTGAGTGCGCTCCACAAGCGCTGTCGGACATTGCTGATACCGAAGGCGGCTTTGTGGGGCGAGATGATTTGGTAGTAGATGACAGATGTCAGGTTCAAAGTAACATTGTCCTTGGTCATACAGACCTGACGAGGCACCTCGACGATCTGGATCTTCACATCGACTGCGGTTAAGTGCTCACTCAGGGGGTTCACTTTAACAAGACCAGGGTCGACTGCACGTTCAAAGCTGGAGACTACGTTAGTACAATTATCTTTCTTCACGCTTCCATTCAGGTGCTCACGAACCGTCCAAACTTCGACACGAGACCAACTTCACCTTGGGCCACAGGCTTATAGGGGTTCGGGCAGCAGACGCAGCAGGGGATAGCACCGAGGAATCCAATGAATTCTCCAAGTCCATGAACTACATAGGAGATTAGCCGTCGCAAGACCAAAGTTACTGGGAACACACTTCAAATGAAGTAGGTTGCGATGGGAATATGGTGGAAAGGAAAAAAAAGCATAGAAACTTACTGAGGCCTGCATACCACCCATGAGCCTCTGCGTTCTCAGCATCGTGATCAAGCTTCTGCGCATACTTCGGCTGCAGATCGGCCAAGCGCGCGGGTTGGACACTGACAAGACCGGAGTGTCCACGGTCTTGGTGGCTACCGGGCTGAGCGGGCGCCTTGCCGTTTACTACTGAATCTTCGGCAGACATGTTGAATATGGTTCAGAAAGTGGAGAAAATAACAGTGGAAGGTTGCGGGCCAGAACAGAGTAGATTTCTTTAAAATACTCGGACGTAAATAAGTTCCGATAGGCTGGTCGATGATACGAGGTCTCAGAGAAGAAGAGAGCTGGGATATATACCGTAGCAATGTCGGAGATGAAGGGAAGGCGAACGGATTAAATAACAAATTGATTTGGGATGTTACTTCTCCCTATGCATGAGCTAACGAAGTGTTGACCTAAGGCAGCTTCTCCGCTTCTGAATGGGTCCGGGTGGGTACCGGGCAGTGGTGGGCCCATCACCCTGTTTTCAGCCTAGCTTGATCGAGCTGGACGCATTCGTTGGCTGCGACACAGGTCAAGTTGTTGGAAAGACCCATACAGAAGGATGGCCTAAGGTTTCCCCAAGGCTGAGTCACTTTCTTGGCCCTGTTGGTTCAACTTGGTTGCCGGGTGATCAGGTGCTTTCCGTGCTGCCGTATCATAGGTTGGTCCGGAAAGTGATCGAAAAGACTTGGATTGAAACTCTACATTTAGTGAATACGAGTTACCCTTTTAGGGAGGCCAAATGAGGATGATCCTTGGGGGTTTTATGCGATCCGGGACAAATTACATCATCCAAAAGTCAGGGCACCGCCGCCCTGACTCCACGTGAACATACCTTGGCCTATCCAGCAATGCTTCCAGATGTCTTCTAGTGGCCACCATTGACTTCAAAGTGCACTGTACGTCATGCTAAATAACAGATTGGACCTTGCACTGCCCTTGCTCGAACTCCAATTTACCAACTACAAACACATCCCTCTGAATTTAAACATCTGCGGTAGCACCGTCATGCTGCAGGGTCTTCTGCCGCAGCAACATGCACGCCGTTATATGCTCAGTACTGTGTACATAAGATAAACCCTGGTTGGATTCCCTTCGGAGAATATGATCCAAAGTACGTACATATGGCTATGCACGTCCATACGCCGTATCGTTACTCCTAATTGGGAATTACTCGGTCCGAGTAAACAAGAGCCAAGCCAAGTCTGCCGTTCTTTGCCCTACTGTTGGGCGCAACGGGGCTATGCACCATCCTTCGCGTGTTACCAATCACTGCCCTTGGTAGACTGATGGGGCACCAATCCCAAAGTGCCAAGCGGTGTGCCGATCTCCAGCACATCAAAATGGCAACTTACTTCAGAACCCTTCCATACCCTTCTCATCCAAAGAACAACCACCTTGTTGCTACCTCGGAATATTCTTTGGGCTGCAAAGTATAGTGACATCTCGAAGGGATGGAGTAGTGAACTTGGAAGACAACACAATCTCCCCAAGTCAGGCAATCTTGGCCGAGCTTTTGGGGGCCCTTTTTGCTCGAAATCGTAGCGGGTCGACCACATGTTTGGGCAAACCTTCCGCTGGTTGTTCATTTGGGGTCCTCTATCAGGAATCTAGGAGAGCTAACATTGTTTGGGAAAATGCAGAGCCGCGTAGTGGAGTCTTCTGATGTGATATGCTTTTAAAATACAAGCTCTGCCTCGATCTACGAAGCGTGGCAATGCCATCTATCCGAAAATAATCGCCAGTGATATGGTCACATGTTGTTGGCACTAGGCTTGGGGCAGTGTCTGGCATGTGTACTTGGATATAGACTGCATATTTGGTACCGACGCTCGCTTCATCCTACCAAATCAGTCGGTTAAGCATGCACGGCCAGTCATTCAGCCATTATTGCTAGCAAGCAAACGGGTGACTCTATCACCGGGTTAAGCCCTGGTAAAGGCATGTCTTTGGTGTGATCATCTTAGAAGCGTCCCGACGCCAGTTATAGCATTATCTATTAAATTCAATTCATTGTTAGGGTCATTGATTACACGTACGATCCATGGATATCCGACATGTCACAACTTTTGCTACGCAAGTATAGGCAAGAAATTGATCAGCTACATTGGACTATATGCTGCAAGGGCACGCCACGTCTTTCACCCCTGTATCTTCTGAGGCCATAAAAGCCAGCACAGGGGGTGCCTGGATCTTTACATTGCCTGGTCTAGCTTTTGCTCGTGATACGGTAGCCTCGAGACATCATATCGGTAGCTCCTTTGCCCATCTGGCTGACATTACATCCGCGTTAGGCGTCATAGATGCTTGAAACACGGGGTATCAGGGATGACCGTCGTCTGGGAATATAATACACCGGTCTTGCCCCAAAGAAGATGGAATAGAAAACTTAATGAGTCTCCCCTAGCATTGAGAGCATGGTGATAAGGAGATTATAGTAATATAATATTAAAAAGCAAAAAATTCTCTAATGAGAAGCATCATTGGTCTAGTGGTAGAATTCATCGTTGCCATCGATGAGGCCCGTGTTCGATTCACGGATGATGCATTTCTTTTTTTCTTATTATTATACTCTTACTGATTCATTTTCTCGCCTCATCTACTTTCCTTCGCATGGAGCCACATTGGCACCATCGTATTTTTTAACTTAGATCATTCGGGTAGTTGGAAAGTCAGAGTTCGAACATAATATAACTCCGTCTGAGTCCGTCACCTATTTTGAACACTGGTTAACTGGGGCTTGGTAAACAAAAAATTGCGATCAAAAACGTACGGGCAGTAAGAATTACAGCTAACCATGGTAGTTAGAGTATGAAGATGGCTTCATCAGAGGTAAAGATACTTCTTCTCACTTCGGTGAGAATCTCAGAGGGAACCCGTGTCTCTATTATCAGATCAAGTAGATCCCTAACAAACTTGTGTAGCAGTCCATGCTTTAGTATCTTAGTACCCGGGTTTCATACCTTCCCTTGCATAGTGCGAGAGCTTTTCCATGGGTGCCTCGCTTATCACTCAGCTGCAAGCGTCTCCATGCTATACTTGACTGTAATGACCTTGCCGAAGCTCAGCCGGGACATAGGGTCCAGCCGTTGGTTATACGTGGCTGGTATCACCTCCCAAAGCTCCTTAGCCATTCGCGGTTTATCTGGGCCATATAGTAGCTTTTAATTTCATGCAAATGATGGCATGTTTGAAAGGGTCCACAGACAGCTTTACAGCTCCTGCGTTACAGTGTGTGTACACCGACTCGGGAATAATGCTTGCCTCTGGTAGAGGAACCGAATAGTGTCACCAATGGCTCCCAGTGGATTTCACACAGGGGAGTACATCAACCGATTGATCTAAAAACGATTCAACTACAGCCCTCTATCATGTCTGGGCTCTGAAAACGCCATGCGCATGTCCCTTACCAAAAGTGGGAACTCGATGGCAATTGGAGAGGCCATCAGCTAAGCACGAAAATGTCATCAAGGCCGGGGGATTCTGGAATCACTGTCATATGCGCGCCTCCTCTGGAAGCAAATTCCGGGGTACATGGAAGAACGGCAATAACGATTCCTGTCTTTCCTCTGTGGGGATAATAGACATGTCGTTCTTGTTCATCCATCAGGTGTAGGTAAATCTATAGCAGCTTGCGCAATGAGCTCTGAAAAATATCAAGCTAGCGCTTTCGGTCGATGTTTGCGGTGGGATCCCTCTTATAGGGTAGGGCAACACGAAAATCCTGCCTGGGAATGTCATTATTAGCAGAGGGGTTGTCGGTCTTATCAGGGGAGACGATCCCCGATCAGTTCAGAAGAAAGTTCACAGTAAAAGAAATGTTGCGAAAACCAAAAAAATGCATCCGCTCCCTGTTGACGAAGCTCGAGGTATCATTATTTCAGAAAAGACTCAAGAGCACAATCTCCGACATCCTCTCGGGCATGACTATGATGAATTATTATAAGCGAAGGAAGAGGATAAGTTGTTGGGGCTTACGCCAATTGTATAGAACTCACGGGATTCTGTGTGCGAAGCCGCTTTGGAAATCTTTGCCAAGAGACAGGTTGTGATTAGGCACAGGTAGTTCAACGCAATCGGCACAACCAGAAAACCCAGCCGATGGAATACATCAGCCTAGGTGCCTCTAGGGCAGTAGTGTCAAGTCCAGTACATGCCGTGATAAGATTGCCGCGAAGAATAATGGCCATTGCTTGCAAGATGGAAGGTGCAGGTGTTATCGGGAGTTGCCATATCTAACGAGCGTAAAACGATGCTCCCAGAGTAAGATATTGTGCATTGTTTGTGTGGGATATTTTTGACATATAGATATTGGTATAGGCCCACGGAAGAGCATTCTACCATCACCATCTTTTCCAGAGCATTGAGATAACCATATGGTAATATTGATGTTGTAGATGCTGTGGATGGTTGGGATGCTAGACACATGACTGCCTGCCTGAGGTATACCTCACCTGACCTTAAGTCAACAACAGCCCTAAACTAGCCAACATCCAGAATCATGACACTACATACTATTGTGTCATTTCTCTCGACGGGGTCAAGGTAGGGCTGTAGATTTCTAGTAATTGTGGGCCCTGACCTTCCTGCAGTCTATAGGAATGCCACTTATTGCATGTCGGTTTGTACTTCGCTGGTGGATATCTCGAGGGTTTGTGGTTGATAGTCTGCTGGAAGTGATGCTTTTTGTCCTGGAAATTAGTTGGTGGCGGCACATATCCTTGTAGTATGGTACTCTATCCATAAAGATATATCTTCAAAGACGCATAAGGTCTTCACGGGGCGGTGGGCAGGGTACAGTGTCCCGGGACTCAGCTGTCGCTCCCCCGTAGGCATAACACATTACCTCAATACAATATTGACTATATTAAACAATAGATTTGCCTGCATTTGCATGATTCGAACCCGCATGAATGCTCCTCGGCTCGCAGTTCTCTTTGTTTGCATGTTACATGCCTGCGGCTACGCAACCACCACCCCCCCCCCCCCTCCCACTTAAGCATAGATTCTCCTGATAACAGATAGCTTTCTAGATATTTAAGCTTGTCACCTGGTAGGTGAGTGTTACTATACTATATACAGAGCCTGATATAGTCACACTAGTCCCGATTTGGATATGTCGATGGCATTCAATATCAAAGTCTGTATTCTGGTTTACATCTTTTAAAACTTCATATTTCGGGTCTTTAATATATCATTCAACAACAAAAGCATGTTAGCTCAGGGGAAGAGCGCCGGGCTCATAACCCGGAGGTCCCTGGATCGAAACCAGGACATGCTAGGCATCATAATCAACTTTTTGAGTGTCCAGATGCGTTGAAATGGAGCGTCGGCTTTTTTTTTTTTCTGCGTTTTTGCTAACTATCTTCTTCGCACGTGCATATAAAGGCTCTACGCACGTATTACTGTCGGCCCTGCTCTCTCAATACTAGGAAATCGTTTAAAGTGGGCCGTTGAGCCTCTCTTAAGTCTTCCCTTTCCCGAATAAAAAGTTTGCCGATTCGGGATATGACTCGAATCCCCGAGCCCAATGGTGGTTCTGCCGGTAACCCCTACACCGCCGGACAAACCACCAATCATGTAGTTACTCTTTCTCTAGAGGCGTTGAACCCCTCGGTCCCTCACAAAAGCGTCTCTGTTTTCTTAGGGATCCCTTGTTTGTACACTGTTCTGATGGGTGTTGTAAATAAAACAACTTATAGAATGCCACCATCAAGCAAATATAATTCCTTAGTACTGTAGAGTTTCTAACCCCACTAGGCTACGACCTCAGCTAACATCGCCGTTGTAATTCTTGTCATTGTGAGGTTGTCATTATTGGCGGGTAGCTAGGGCTGCATCTTATCAACGAGATGCTGATAAGATCAGATTTGTTATCTTATCGATAACAACAATCATGTGCTCTCACGTGGGGAGCTCCTCACCAGCAAGCTTGACAGCTCCCAAAGATCAGCGTGACTGTTGTCGTGCCTGTATTCCCTTCATTAGAGTCAGCGTTGGATTTCAGTCTGGCCGACTGAATCTCTACGAGGTCGAACTATTTTCACACTGGTTGTTCAACCGACACGTGAGACAACCCTAGTCTTTGACTGGGGCCTGACTTGGTTTGGTGTCGTTATTATATCACAACAATAGAATAACAGATAGTGTATGACCATCAGAACTCTTTTTAATTCTAAACTAATGCCTATGGATGCATTTGAAACCACGTGGAACCCCCTTACATCAGGGTCAGTGTATTGCTTAGGTTACCCTACGGAATACCGCTATATCGTCGAGACTATAGCAGTCTATAGGAAGGGCACTGACTATGGTGCATCATATGGGCAAACTTTTATATCTAATTAACACGATACAGCTGATACTTATAGCATCAACATCCAAATTTACACCCAACACATATACAGCAGACACATTTACCAGGTCAGGATATGATTCTAGACACCGCCCATTGAGGTCCAGATCCATTGGAAGCTTAACGATTCATTTGAAAACCTCTGCCATGCATCCATATGACTTCAATCTTCGTCCTCGCGTCTATCTCAGACACCATTTGCTGTAGACCCATCGAGGTGTAAGGTGCTTACATGTGGTGATGGGATTAACTATTGGAGCCAATGATGATTTATTTTGATGCTCGTTCCTCGGGGTCTGGGTAGGGACTGCAGATTGAGGTGTTATATACAGCACTCTGTCATCAAATATCAGTAAGGGGGTCGCTGTCGATCAACGTCCAAGTCCAGGACAGAAATCCGTCACCGTTTTCGGTGGTCACTTAGCGATATCTCCGTATCCCCGTATTTCGTGTCCTTCTACATGGGGCCTCAACTCTTAACTCACCTACTTGGGCTTGTCATTTTGTGCAGGTGACATTGTGCGCCTTGACAGGGGCAATAGGAGCGATGAGTTATCACCAATGCTGAGAGTTGTGCGGTGTCATGTCGCTAGTTGCAAAGACGTCGCATCGGCATAGGTGCCTATGTAAACTGCCTGATAGTGTAAAGTTGGGCTGGCACCTTCCCTTCGTCATTCGATTTGCATATAACGCCACAATCTGCGAGCCTATCCAGATCCTAACGAACAATGACCACAATATATCGCCATTGGCTTCAGCGGTTAGTCCCAATGCCATGTAAGTAGGCACCTTGCACCTCGGTTGGTCTGTGCTAAAAGAAAAGCATAGTGGGACATGCATGGGTGGGGGTCTAGGTATTATTGAGCACTTTGACAGCAGACATTATACGCCCGAGCAGACGTATTAACTACCTTCAAATATATATCCACCACCACAAATATATCTACACCTATTAAGCATCCACGCATGCAAAGGCAACTCCCAAGAGTTTAATCCCAGACTAGATTCTTTGCTAGCTAAACGAAGCAGCATATAGCCTAGCTATAAGGTACACATTCAATACAGGATAAAAAAAGGTAGTGACCCACGTACGAAAGAGAAGATCAAAAAGTGAAGCCGAACGCGGGGGTCGAACCCGCAACCTTGAGATACCGTGACGACTAAGAGTCTCACGCTCTACCGATTGAGCTAGCCCGGCTACTTGTTGTATAGTGTCTTTGTTTTTGCCTACATAGTCCTGCAAGAAGCAGATAGACTCCCTCACAAGAAGCTTATGTAAGATCTTGCCAAATGCGGTGTTTATTTTTCACCTTCGCTCCTTTAATTAATATACATTACTATGGAGATGTATAACTAAGGTTTTAAAAGTCGATAGCAGGCTTTTGGATATTGGTATGCTATCCCACTGTCATAGCTTCTGACTTTTGTTGGCCCTTCCTCATAAATCAGGTTTGTTTATATATTGTGCTTCTATAAGTCATTCTTTAATACTTCATGGTCACTATTCTCGTTGATGGACCTATGGTTATACAGTGGGGATGTCAAAAGTTTGAAACTATCCGCTTGACCGCCTAAAATACCGCTATATTTCAACCCAATCAAATTCAGTGCTTGAGCCTACACACCTCTATCTACACATTAAATTATAGCTCCTAGAGAGAATATAGATATAAGTTATTGAGTTAGATAGCTGGTATAGTAATTATTAAGGCCCAGGGAAGGAGTTTGAGAGATTTCTGCTACGCAGAATAGTAAAATTAGGAACGCGGTTAAACTGGGCAATAAATGGACGGTTTCAAACTTTTGACATCCCAGTGTATGTAGCATGGCTAGAGAATCGGTCTACCTGACAGGTTGTAAGTTGTATACTGCGTAGGTAATAGGCCGCAATATTCCACACTTACCATTAGACGACAGCTAATGATCAAGAGGAGTAAGTTTCGGGCGATATAGAAAGATGTACACAGTATGAGTAAATGATTGACTCCGATACTTAACTACCTGTCGAAGTCTTGAGTAAGCTGGCCACATGACTGAATACTTAATTGTGGTTTTCCATTCATGGGCATGGTATAGGGTGACTTAAGGTACTTTGGAGGAAATCTTAAGTTATAGCCTTGAATAGCACTAAAAAAAGTATTTCTCAACAAGTAGCCGGGCTAGCTCAATCGGTAGAGCGTGAGACTCTTAGTCGTCACGGTATCTCAAGGTTGCGGGTTCGACCCCCGCGTTCGGCTTCACTTTTTGTGCCCCCCCAAAAAATACCGTTTTATTTTTGAAAGCGGCCTGTGTTTGCCATCGTCCTTGACATGGTTATACCATCGCACCGTGGCCTGTCAACGAGTATCTAGAGAACTGGATAGATACGCCACCTGCCACAACAGATTAGAAGAGACATATAAGTTACATCAAACAGACAAAATCACACAAAATCAAATGACCAACTCGCAACCTTCCTAAATCAAGTCGTCTTTTATAGATCCGCTCGATCTATAACCAGCCAGCAGCTATTCGTGTTCAAGTATGGTCGAGCTGGACCCGCCGTACAGCGTTCCCTTGGTTGCCTTCTCTCCAACCAGTAATCTCACCGTCTCCGTTAATTCACGTATCTGTTCCTTTAGCTGAACGATCTCCAGAGTGCAACTGTCCATAGTCACGTTTGGAGTCGTGTCCTGGACAGTCTGCTTCCAGCTTTCCTCGATTGCAAAATCCACTTCCTCAGCGGCATGCTCCCATTCCTGCACGTTGTCATCATCTTCCTCTCCACGACGGCGATTCCATCTTATCCGACGGGCTTCGCGGGCTTCAAGGGATGCTGTCACGAGAAGAATTGGCGAGTAGATGATACCCATGATAACATCGTTTAGCTTTGCGTAGCGTTTGCGTGGGAGCCACCATTCGAAGGGTGCGATTAGGAAGATAATCTCGATGAGGTTGAATGCTACAATGCTGTCAATATGGCCAGGCTGTCAGCTAGTACAAGGGGCGACTTACGAGGGATGAAGACATTCTCATCTGGCGCCCGGACGTAGGACATCGTTTTCTGCGCGAAGACAGCCATATACTCATCAATCGCGTTTCCTGAAATCTCTTCGTATGCGCTGTTGTATAGAGCGATAAGGATATTAAGCAGAACTGCCAGGCGTCAGCAAAGCCATGGATTGCAGAGTAGAGAGCTAGACCGAACCTGTCATAATGATAAAATTGAATAAATAGTACAGGATAATGCCGAACGGGTACGCGAAATCCTCGAAGGTGCCAAACTCGGGGCTTTGCATTATACTGTTTGCCATGCCCTGCACAATATTCTTGACAACAGGGATATCGGACTCCACCTGAGCCATCCCATAGAACGCTTGGAAGAAGCCCACTAGGACAACGAAGAGGAGAGCAAAGAATATTATACTCTCCTTCATCATGACCCTCAGAACGACAAACATGGCTCCGAAGAACCGAAATGAGTCCAGATATAGCATCATACGCATCCAAAACATTGGCCCTGCAAATGCTAAAAAGTTGTAGCTTAGTTCATTGAGTATTTGTCTCTTTTGATCATCTGCCGAAGGTGAGTGTGTCAGAGCAGCGACACGCACGAAGAAGGAGATAGCAAGAATGACGTATAGCGTGGAATTAAAGGCATTCCAGAAATCAAAGTAATGTCGTCCAATCTTCCATACTTTGGTTAACTCATCGCAGATGAATGCAAGGGTCATCACATAAAGGATGCCTTCCCCGACATCGAGATCCCCGGTTCGATTGACAGTATTGATGACTTGAGTGTAAAGTGCAAGGTACAAGAGAGAGACAGCGATTTGGCATGCGTTCTGATACAGAGGTGTCCTCATCCTATCGGGGTGGAAGTGGACTGCAAAGTTCGTATTATCTTTTTCATGGTAGGGAACGAAGTTGGTTGGGTTGCCATCCTGTTGACAAAACCAGCCATTCCAGAGATATTTGATGCACTTCTGATACCCAGAAGATCCGATGATCCTCAATGCGTGAAGGTCTACAGCACGCTCTATGACGTTAGCCGGGACAGTCTCCTCTCCGTCGACGAAGACCGAATACCGCTTGAGCAGGGTATGGAGCAGCAGAAAATCTTGGTTTTCTTCGGTTTCAATTCTATACGAAGGGTTAGTAGCTAAGATAGGTAGCTGCTGTGTGGATATTGTAGGGTCATTACATGCGCTTTGCTATAACCTCACATGCAAGGGCCCGACTCTCGTGGAGATCAGAATCCCAAAGCTCCTCTACAGCTTGAATTTTGAACCAACGTAAGCATATAAGTAAGCAAAATACAACACAGCCTTGCAGGTCTTCACCGCCCGCCTCTTTAGCAGTTTGAACAACGCTGTCTGTAATGACGCGACTGGTGGGACTGGTGATGATGTTTTCTTCAACCTCGCAGGGAATAACCTGTTCAATCTGATACTTTAGTCTAAGAGCCACTTTAGTTACTTCCTTGGAAGGCCCAGTGGAAGAAACCGGATCCGAATCGTAGGCAGGAAGTACTGTTTATCATGTTAGTATTGACTAGCAGTAGACGGTGCATTCGTGAAAACCTGGAGGCGTACATCGGCGACGCTCCGCATGTAGACGACGTCGAGCACGCCCAGTGTCAGTCTTTAAGATATCGCGCCAAAGCCCCATGCTAAGCAATGAATACCAGTGTCTCTGTTATAAAGAAAATTGGCACGCAGAAGGACGAGGGGGAACGGAGGTCCGTTGGTTAAGTCTTGGGATAATTAGTACGTAGTTTATCCCGCATGCCCCACTCTCAGCTACTGCCACGATTGGTGCCTTGAGAGTTTGCATACGAGTCAATAACTATGGAACGGGACCTCTTCGAGCTAACCTTGATATTGTGTACGCATGACTAGCAGAGTGGAAAGATATGAGATCCAAGCAAAATTGGATCAAGTCAAGTCGTCAACGCCGATAATGTTAGATTGTGACCAAAAAAAAGAAGAAAGTTTTGATAGTAGGTGTCTAACAAGGTACCACCAATCTTGACCCGCAGGTCAAAGAAACTTATGTACATGAGAATGCGGAATCGAGTTCCCCAGCGAACCAGAGCTCAGTCACCAGCAGGGACAGATGATTGACCAACAACCCCTAGACGAGAAACGACGAGACAACCACAGCCTCGGACGGGGTAAAGCAACCCCAATGTTGACTGCTGGACTCGCACCCTCATAGTCCCTGAGCACCACGGCTGGTCTCGATTCTGCCCATGAGCATATTGAACCGTCTCCCGTCTCATAATTCGTGTCACATTTGAAACTCTTCTATTGAACTTTTCCCCATCCTTGCAACCAGTACTCATAACCAGCCTTCGTATTCAGTGTTGTTCAACTACACATCGCAATTTTCTGAAATTCTCCTCTTTCGAATCAAGCTCAGGGGCCTAAAACGGCGCTGTCGGCGTACTGTGCGCTGCTTACTCGGGAACACCCTCGTCACTCTCAGACTGGCTCTCATCACCGCTGACCTCCATGTTCTCACGCTCACGTTTCTCCATGAGCTCCTGGAGTGCGGCATCATCGTGCTCGGTGACGGCCTTGGGTGCCATCTTGACGCTGCAGCCACCTCCGGCCTCCTTTATTTTGGACTCGATTCTCTGGATAGCTTCCTCAAGCTGTTTGATACCAATAGCCTTGTCCAGGCACTGGCTAGTCAAGACGTACAGAGGAGGAGCGACCAGCTTGACCTTGACCTGGCTATCGGGAGTGTTGGCCTCCTCGGCAGTACGAAGAGCAGCCTTAACCGCATCGATTCCTTCATAACCGAAGCAAGTAACCTCAATATCGGCGCGAACCTTGGTGGGGTGGGGCGTAAGCCTCTTGCTAATATACTGCGTCAACTCCTTCTTCACGGCCTCGCTGGGGAACTCAACATCGTTCCACACGTCGGGGTTCCTGAAAAACGTCAGTTACACCAGAAAGACTGGCTGAGAGCCACCAGTGTCTTACGTAATAGAGATCTTAAAGGCGTCGTGAGAATGGCCGTATTTCCGGTTCAGAGGCCATCCAATGTTCTGATATAGCGTCTCGAGGGGAGTCTGAGTGGCCTCTGCGACATGACGCATGATAGAGTGCACCGCCTTGCTCTTGTTATATCTCTCCTCACATTTGATAACATCCTCTGGGGAGACTCGTCGCTTGGAAAGATCAATATATCCTACAAGTAGCAAGGTAATATGTTAGTCAAAGTCCACCGTTGATGCCCGGATTCTCTGGAGTGAAATTCACTTGCCCTTCTCCTTGTCAACACGGAGCACGATGACAACTTCGTTGCGACCAATACGGATAAGCTTCTGGATACTACGAATACGTCTCCGTGAAAGTTCGGAAAGCAGGATCATTCCGTCAATGTTATCGTATTCGAGAAGCTTCACATATGCGCCCATTTCGGCGATCTGTGGCATTGGAAAATAACCGTTAGAAGAAAAATTCAATAGCCACGCTCTCAGACACAGTGAGAAGCGCATACCTGCTTGACATTGACCATGACATAGCTGTCGACCTCCGGGTACTTCTCCTCGTAAAAACGGCTGTTCGTTAACGACATTTTGGCGGGGTTGCGCCTTTGTGAGGCAAAGCTAAACGGCGAACTTTTTGAAGAAAAGAGATTCAAGTCGAAAGTCCCGTGAGAAACAGTCCTCTATACAAACTTCCGGAAGAAGTCGAGGGGGTTGGATCAGCTGGAAAAAGAGTTTAACGGCAGACCACCGATGAGATTCAGAGCACACTTCAAATCACTTTGTGGCGGCTCAAAACCCACTTTGGGCTGGGTGGTGAGTCATCACGTGCCCGGGCGGTATCCCCGACCACCCGGCAGAAACAGATAATGATTCGGTATCGTGACCTTATCTGGTATATTTCTTCCTTGGTTTTGCAAGGAGCTAATATGCTGTTCAGGTTGGACAGAGAGAAGGGAAAAACAGGCGAATTCAGTTGGTTAATATCGTGCCCTTTTGGCCCGGGTGATCTTTATTGTTAAGCGGAACGATGTGCTTCTTTTCTCTTGAATAATGATATTTACTTCTTCCGTCTTCATGCTTCCCCTGGCATCGCCCGCAAACTACCAATCGTAGCCACCGCCTGTTGCACTACGGGATTTGCTACTTTTCCACTCGCCTATTTTTTCCTCTGCCTTAAATTCAGCCGGACTTTCTCTGTTTTCTTTTCCTTTTTCCTTCATCTTTTCCTCTTTATTGAAGCGTAGCACTCATGGCGAGTGCTGAGTTACCTTGCACATCATAGCGATACTGACCCACCGCGATCCCCGGGTAAATATGGATTCCAGCTCTGCCCAGGAGTCGACTCAACAGCGCTCTTTGCGGGATCGCATTTTTAACCTCTTTCGTACCTCTTCCTCAAATGACGCCCCAGGTCTTCCAGCAAGGCTCGTAGCCGCTGAGAGCGCAGCACAAAACGAAGGGTCGGCGATAATCTATCCGCCACGAGAGCCTGATGCAAGGACTCGTCTTTTGGAATCGTATGATCGCGGGGAGCGTGGCCTGAGAAACTCCGGTGATCATGGGACTTTCCCCTCACGACCCGAACAGGAAGATATCCAGAAATGGGATGCAAGCTGTCTGCAGAATGTTGGGAACGAAGTAAGACCGCAGCTTCCAGGAGAAGCAGACGGCCATATTGGTCCTACTAGCGACGCCTCAGGATATCCACAAGGACCAGAGAATATACCATCGCTGGACTCCTCTTTTACAGCATTGCACATGACGAATCATAAATCTCTGTAGGTTTAGAATCACGTTCACCCTGCATTCTAACATAACTGTTCTCTCCAGCGTGGAGACAACTAACGTTCATCAAGGTATATATCTTACTACATTCCGTTTTTCAATTGGATTACCCAATACCGGTGGTCATATATTCGAGGGGATTTGATTGCCGCGACAACCATAGCGTCTATTTACATCCCTATGGCGTTGTCCTTATCCTCAAATCTCGCCCACGCACCTCCTATCAATGGTCTCTACTCTTTCGTGATCAACCCTTTCATCTATGCAATCTTTGGGAGCAGCCCGCTGTTAATAGTGGGTCCGGAGGCAGCAGGCTCTTTGCTGACTGGGACGATTGTCAAAAGTAGTGTCAGACCAGGCCCGTCTGGTGAGGATGACGAAGCGGCGAATGCTATGGTGGTTGGCATAGCCACTGCTATGGCGGGTGCCATGATATTGGTTGCTGGGCTTACACGATTGGGATTTCTGGATAATGTGCTGAGTCGGCCCTTCCTTAGGGGTTTCATTACAGCAATCGGTTTTGTGATTTTTGTGGATCAACTCATTCCCGAAGTCGGATTGACCGAGCTGGCGAAGGAAGTTGGTGTTACCCATGGGACTACAGTTGACAAGCTCGTATTCCTTGCAAGAAACATAGGAGATTGCCATGCGCTAACAACCGCAGTGGCTTTTGGAAGCTTCGCTATTATAATGGTATTTAGGTTAGTGCTGGTGACTCGGAAGCCTGGCGCTTAGACTAATTTCGATTACAGGACTCTCAAGAAAATGCTCCAGCCACGATATCCCCAAGTGATTTATCTTCCGGACCGAATTCTTGTAGTTATTCTTTCAGCTGTCCTGACATGGCATCTTGGTTGGGATGAAAAAGGGTTGGAGATTCTGGGGCCGTTGAAACAAAATGCCAATGGCCTTTTTACATTCAAATGGCCTTTCCAGTTCAGCCAAATGAAGCATGTACGCGCTGCAATGAGTACCTCTTTCGTCATTGCGCTACTTGGCTTTTTTGAGTCTTCTGTTGCCGCCAAGGGACTTAGCGGCGAGGCCAGACAAGAAGGTGTCCAGGGAATGCCTGTCAGCGCTAACAGAGAGATGGTGGCACTGGGTCTTGCTAATACTGTTGGGGGCTGTTTCATGGCGCTTCCTGCGTTTGGTGGGTATGCAAGAAGCAAAGTCAACGCTTCAACTGGAGCTCGATCCCCGATGAGCAGCATTTTCCTGAGTATTATTACCTTGGTTTGTATCATCGTACTCTTGCCGTATTTATACTATCTTCCGGTGAGTCTCAACCCCAAATACTTCCGAGTGAAGGCTGACAGAATCTGTTGCAATATTTTAGAAAGCCGTTCTTTCTTCTATGATATCCGTCGTCGCATTCAGTCTCATTGAAGAATGTCCTCACGACTTGGCTTTCTTCATCCGTCTGCGCGGATGGACGGAGCTAGTCCTAATGCTTCTCATCTTTGTCTCGACTATTTTCTATTCTCTAGAACTGGGAATTGCCCTTGGTATTGGCCTTTCTATCTTGATCCTCATTCGCCATTCTACGCAGCCTCGGATCCAAATTCTGGGTAAGATAGCAGGCACCACCGACCGTTTCGAGAACGCTGAACTTCACCCCGAGAGCGTTGAGTTGATCGAAGGCGCGCTTATTGTTAAGATCCCGGAACCTTTGACCTTCGCTAACACTGGCGAGCTCAAGAATCGTCTTCGGCGGTTGGAACTGTATGGCAGTAGTAGAGCGCATCCTTCTCTTCCCCCCACGCGCACTCCCGAACATAACAAGAACATTATATTTGATGTCCATGGTGTTACTAGCATCGATGGTTCTGGTACGCAAGTCTTATATGAGATTGTGGAAGGATATGCAGACCAGGGTGTCAGC